AATTTTGATCACGTGACCATGGGGATGTTGCAACGGATGTAAGTGTCAAAAAATGGTCATAAGTCACTTTTTTCAGTGCCGTTGTAACTTTGGATGGTCACTGAACGAAGTGTTGTAAATCAAGGATTACCAATGTTTTAATGATTATGTTGGAATCCTGTTTAAAAAAAAAAGGTGAGCTTTTCAGAATGAACCAAAACAACAAATAAAGATTGTACACTGAGCTAATTTTAAGTAACCCAAAGTATCCCATTGGCAACGCCTGTATCTGTAGCTCAAGAGTGTTCCTCGAGGCACATTTCTGTATTAAATTCATTGACATCTGCGTCATTTATAGAAACACTCTAATGACTTTGACATGGGAAAGAAGGGATGGCCTATAACTGCATTGTGCGCATTGAATGCCCACTTTCTTCTTAGCCAGGTTAGAACTGAAGCATTGGTCTACTATTTAGGAGGGGAAGTGCCCATGCCCTGCACTTTAATAGCCAATTAAACACATGGCCAAATTAAACTGCATCTCTCCCTTGAGAATGGTTCTAATAATCCCAAGCAAAAGGGTAGTAGGGAAAATATAATGTGAATTAAACTTGAAGGGCCCTAATTATTCACAGAAATGCTAGCACGTTGTGCAACATACCTTTTCCCAAATGAATAACAACAATGTTGAACATTAACATGGTGCAATTACTAATTTTTTTTGGGGGGGAGATACTAATTTGGGAGTGCAAATTTTGCATGCAATGTTCATTTCCTCTAATTCTGCTGTTTTCAAATTGTGTGTGGTAGCATGAATGCCCTGCGTATCTCCGTAACTAGTTAATAAAATGATTTTAAAGCAACTTTGAAAAATTTCACAAACATGCACAGGCATGGCCATAGTTGGGTTATTTTGTCTCAAAAATGCAGACAAGTTCCTAAAATTATTTTACTTGCTAAAAAAAATAAAAAATAACCCAAGTAAACTTGTTTCATTTCTTTCCCCTTGTATCACCTGGGTTACTGGCAAATCCCATTGGACCAATGGAATGTGATGAAATACAGATTATTCTGATAAGACCTACATCAATTTAAATTGCCATCTACCACCGCTTACAACACCCCTCATTTCTATTTTGCACCTATAGAAAATGATTGGATTGTTTTCAAAAAGGGGGTGGGCTGCTGACCTTCGCTGAATCACGCTGCAGTCAGCATTATGTTTTGTCTGCACCGGTGTAGTCTTTTAAATTATTTGGGGTCTACAGACCTGTCTCTTTAATTTCATCTCTAATATTTCTTTCAAACAGTGTCTGCCTTTTTAATACATTTATGCCACCCATTTACTAACAGCAGTTTAAGGATACTCAAATTTACTTTCCAGCACCCTTAAATTTGAGCTTGCAAATATATGAGCAAGAACAGATGGCAACAATATTCATGCTAGCAACACCAATACTTGATAATTTTTGATAATTCATGCAAAACAGAAAATAAAATCATCTCTTCCCTTGTATGATATTAGTAACAATTGCAATTGTACAATTTTAGGGGCCTTTGATTGCAACGGCTTTTACAAATGGATACCACTGAAACGTTACACAGGGTTGGTTGCCATCTCACTTGGAGGTATATCAATATATAGCATTTATATTTTCTACTATATCCCTTCCCTCTTGTTGGGGAGGGGGGTTAAATTCTGATAGCTTTATTCTTCCTTTATTTATTTATGTATTTTTCTTAAACATTTTAAAATCAACTTTTTGGGCTGGAAACTTGAAAGGTATCCTGAAGCAATTCTGGAAAAAATAGTGCTTACAGCAGTTAAAATTTTTATGATTATTTAAACCAATTCTAAATACTGGGGGTTACTCGAATGCTTGAGGGGAAATCTATTGAGTCATGTGAATTTGAAAGAGATTCTTTTTAAAATTGTAATGCTTTTAAAAACTAATTCATTTTTATGTTAAAGACTATAAGCACAATACATGTGATTTGTTCTTAAAAGAACAATCATGAAAATTAGGAATTAAATTTCAACATTTAAAAAAAAACACTTATTACAGTAATGTATATTCTGGATCCCCACTTGTTTCCTCCTCTTATAGCACAGTATTTTTTTATACTTCCAATTATAAACATTTAGTTTAAAATAGAGCCACAATCAAGATAATGTAAGGAAAATGTGAGAAATCGTTGCTAATTTTAACCATGTACTCGATCTATTGCATGAATTCTAATTTCCAAATCAAAGCATGAAATTAAAAGTATGATTGCTGAAGCAAACGCATTTTTCATGTGTGAAGATGAACCCAATTCACTGAATGTGGGAAAGGGTGGAAGGAGCTGGTTCACGATCAAATTAAGATCTTTAAAAGCTTCTAAAAGGTATGATGCTTTGGAAAATAATGGTAGTTCCCTGTTCTTAGGGCAACTGAGAGACATTTGTGGGGAGCACACAGGATTTCGTAGTTGTGCCTTCTCCTGGGGAAGGTACTTCTTCAATCCACTGAAACTAAGTATTTGTGACATTCACCAAATTCAATTCATGTGTTGCTATGTGGCCGATACACCATAATGAAGCCAGAATGTACAAAACTTGCCGAGTCACTTAGGTATGGCTTTGGTAGGAGTCTGCCTGAAAGCCCCATTGCCCTGCATGAGTTCCAGGACTGAAATGTAAGGAAGCAGGCAGAAAAATGTAAAAATTACCTGAGGGTAAAAAGGGCTTCTGTCCGTCTATCGCATGCATGATAAGCACACACTTTTTGTAGGGGTCAAGGTGTGTAGTTCCTGATTAATGCTGATGTAAACAGATTTGGTCTCTGTTTTATGCCAAAAATTAGGTCTGCTAATGATCCTCAAAAGCAAGTCCCAATAATTTCTTGTTGCTAGCATAGAGAAATGTTAAACAGAGTCATAAGGTGAGAACATTGTTTAACCAATTAACATGCTGTACGCACTCCCCTCATAAAGCCATAATAAAGATTGGCAAGCCAAGAAGGTGTCCTTGGCGTTACGTTTCACAAAGGAAAAAGACAGTGGGTGCCAAGACATTCATGGGCAAGATAAACCACAGCTTCCATGACTTGTTCATCCTTCTTTGCTACCCTTGTTTTGAGGATGTTTGTTGCCTCAGGAAAGGATGCATTATAACTATTCAAAAGATGAGTAGAAGGTGGTAGACCAGGCGAGGATGGCCTTTTCTAATATATTTTTAACTGGAACAATCCATCTCCTCAGCATGGGAATTTCACATCTGTCACTGTAACCCAAGAAGAGCGTGCGGGAGAGAAGTTGAGATTAGATGCTCAGACATGCAGTCCAGGGATTTTTCACCGGCCATGTTTGAGGTCTAAAAATCTTGCTTAAGATCAAGGCTACCTACCAAAGGTTCCCAGAGAGAGCCTAGCTGAAAGTCAACTTTTCAACCAACACCAGCTAAAATGACCGTGGCTTGAAATTCTGTCGGAGTGTTACAGTGAAACTGTAGCTCAGATTACTTTTGCCAGGATCTTCTGTACACCATTATGTTATAAAAGTTTCCCAGGGGGCTTCTTGATATGGGAGGCTGAAGTCTGAAGGTAGGGAAAAAGTTTCTTGTAGCTCACTGCGGTGCATTTGAAATGAATTAATGAATTAATGAATAAAAGGACCGGGAGGATTATGGCTTCTCTGGGATTCACACTGGATTTCATAAATTATTCGCATTATTATTGAAGGTATTTGTTCAAGCCATTGAAACTGAGTATTTGTGACATTCACAGAAGAACTGGTTCTCCTATAACCGAGTTGTTGTTCTCATCATGCAACGTAACCCAAACCTTTTAAAAGATTCTCCATGCTGCAGTTTATACACTGTATAATCCATCATGGATTAGTTGCACATCACTTCTAATTTCACATTGCTCCATTTGTTTTGGCTCACAATACTACAAGCCTGGAAAATGAAATGGTGGACTTACCAAGCAGATAATTTCTTAATTATTTTTATCTGAGCCTGGTTCAGCAAACCATCATGTGTCATTGTGCTCTTTCGACATGGTTTCAACAAAGCAACCTTCATTTGTAAAACGAGAATTTCCTGTGAAAATCCCAGCTTCAAACTAATCATTGCTGCCACTGTCTGCACTGATGCCCAGGATTGATCCACCATGTCTAGTTTAGATCTTTATATAATATTCTGTTGAGGGAACTATTAATTTCACCAATCTTTCTGTCCAGGTTATTTGCCATCAGAGTTCATGCACACATAGACTCACGCACATACATAGAAAAACCACACACACACACACACAGATAGACACACTCCTTCCACAACTTGGTATACTTCTGGGTACCTTGAATTTTGACTTGTCTGGGTAGAACGGCACCAGTTTAGGAAGATTACAATACTTCTGCACAGACCGATCAGGCTGAATATTGAAATGCAAGTTTCCAAGTATAAATTAAAATCTCCCGCTCCAATTTGACATGACTCAGGACTGTTTCCCATGCTTCATTTTAAATGCATACACAAGCTGTCCTTAACTTACTACCACAATTAGGCCTGGAATCTCTCTTGCAAGTTGTTGACATCGTAAGTTCAGACACCTTGTGACCAGGCCTGATTGTTTTTAAACTCTTTCTTATGGTGGTTCTTAAGCTAATCAGGTGGTTATAGGTCTGAATCCACTCTCAAATCCCCCTTCTTTTCTTTTGCTGGAAACCACCCTGCACTCTGCACCTACCTCTGTTGCCCCTTGCCACCCTTCAGCATCTTCCTTCCTCCTTTGGCATGCTCAGCCAAAGCAACTGCTAGTCCTCCAGGCCACCTCACCGCATTTAAATTTGCTTATTGAATTTCGTCTCCTGCTACCATCTTTGGATTCTCCGCAGTTTTACATGATAGGCAAAAATTAGAACATCTGTGGGGTGTAATGAAAGGAACAGAAATAAATTGTAACATTAATGAGCAGAATGTACTATAAAAATAACAACAAAAATAGAAAGCACAGAAGTAAAAGATGGCACAATAGGGTCTCCTTCCTTGACAGTTTAGATTTTAATAGCCTTCTAAAAGCCAGCTATGGGAAGCAGTGTCTCAATGGTTAAAACGCTGAGCTTGGTCATCAGAAAGGTTGGCAATTCGGCAATTCGAATTCCTAGCACCAGATAGCGGAGTGAGCTCCCATTACTTGTCCTGCCAACCTAGCAGTTCGAAAGCATGTAAAAATGCAAGTAGAAAAATAGGGACCACCTTGGGTG